AAAATCCTTTTGTGTGAATAAACATGCTGTGAAACTGTACCACAATTATATATAAACTTGAACTTGAACTTGAAGTTGTATAGCAAAACCGATTTATACAAATTAAAGTAGTCCGCATTATACTCAATACAATAGTTTCTTCTAAAAGTAAGCTAAATACTTGTTTCAAAAAATCAGCTGTTACTTACTTTTAAAATTTGGAACAGCTTCTATGTGTACTAATGCTTATTTCCGTTGGTAAAAGCAGTTTTCCTAAGAGGTGTAAATTACACAGTGACAAATCATGTACACACGAAGAGTAGCTCAATATCAGCTCGTTATTCGGTTTTTATTTTCGTGCCTTAAACACAGATGGAAAAACGCTGGCGATATCAAAACACATTAGAAACCGGAACTGAAAATGGATACAATACACTCTATTAAATGTCTTCAATGTAATCTGGAGACAAACGCGTAACTGAGTCCCCCAAGGAATCAAAGAACCCAAAAATGATATGGAAGTAAGGCTCCTTTTTTGGTTTTTAATTTCGTGCCTAAAACATAGATAAAAAACACGGCTGATATCAAAACACATTAGAAACCGGAACTGAAAATGGATACAATACACGCTGCTCAAAATTTTCAATGTAATCTGGAGACAAACGCGTCACTGAGTCTCCCAAGGAATCAAAGAGCCCATAAATGATATGGAAGTGCAGACTACAGAAAGCAGTTGTAGAATCTTAGAAATTTTAAATCGAATAGAAATTATAAGCAAGAAAAAAAATAAGAGGCAAACATTTTGTGGAGCTACAACAGAAGTAAAAGGGATATAATTATCAACACTAATATAAGTATTCCCTGTCACTTTGAATCTGATAACTCCGGTTTTATGTGTCTAAATTATATGAAATTTAGCCCGCATATTTGTGAAAGATTACCCTTATAAACGCTTATAATTCACAATAGATAGCGCAAACAAAAGTAGCTCTCAGTTAGGTTTCATTTGATAGCTTGAATGTTTTAATTTTTCTTCCGATTCAAAAAAAATATATCCATCAATTCGGTTGCAGTTTTCTTTTCGGCAAGAACATTAATTTTTTTTTTTGGTTTTTAGTTTAAAGTTAAGTTCTGAGTGAATATTTATATAACGAATTAGGTTTTTATAATAATTAATTAACTCATTCATTTTAATTAACTCACTTAAGTTTTGTCCACTTTGTGTGTATAAAAATATAAAGGACGATATATTATATTAAAATATATTGAACGATATATTTCTTCGGTTCAGGTCCTGATTTTGTTCTGGTGAAAACATCGGAATTTTCCGTTCACTGTACTTTAATACAGCATTATCTTGATGTTCATTGTTACTTTTATACCTGGAATATCTTGCTTAAGTACCAGATAACGGGTAGATGTATAATAAAACTAACGTCGAGATGGGACGTTTTCAATTCATTACTCTAATTAGTTCGGAGGTGTCAACGTCCTTCACTTGTATGACAAGCTTCTTGCTATCGATATTATACCAACAGATTTTTCTGGATAAGGTGTAATGGTCTTCATAAGAAATTGTGAAGCAGTTTTATGTCGAAGCGATAGTTAAAACAGATTATTGTTTTCATATAAGTACTTTTATGGATCTTGTCTGGTCTTAACTGAATAATAAAACTTGTATCGAAAGTTGATCTTTACTACATATAGTACCTTTTATAATTTTTGGATATGCGAAAAATTACTGAGCTAATCATCTACTTCTTCATCACTAACTTCAGTATAATTTGCTCCACTACTAAAGTCAGCATTGAACCCTGAATCATAGAAATTTGATTAATAATTTCACTTGTCTGCTTTAAGGCATTACAGAGAGAAGCTAGTAAAAATGAAAGAATAACAGAAATGAAAAAAGAAAGTTAAGTCAAAGACGTGTAAAACCTCTTGCCTGACAAGCATCTTTACATTTGTCAGAATCATTTATAAAAATGTTAAACAGTCAACATTGCTACCGGCAAGGACAAGCCACAGACAATCTATGGTATGCTGCTGATATGCCACGTTGCAGCCAATGTTGCGCCAAAGTAAAGCGAATAGAAGAAAGGATGAAAGGACGAAAGGAAATGGAAAAATGGAATGAAAAATTTAGAAAGGTAAATTCGCAGGTGCAACAGAAACATTTAAAGCTTTTTGACTCGACACAAGAACACGATTTGAGGAGCTACAACACTGCCGACAGCAGCAACAACAAAACAGCATGCGATGTTATCCTTGCTCTTTTTGGCATTGTTCAACACTGCTGTTGTTGGTATTAGCGAAATACCGTAAAAGGTTGGCTGCTCCGCGTAGTATTTGAATATTTTTGATATGCAACAGAAAACAGCGAAGAAAAATATATTTGCTGTAAGCAATTTTCGTTTAATTCTGCGACTAAATTTTCCGGTGACTCGTTGAAGTTGCAGTTTTTCAGCTGTTAGACCAAAATTTCCGACGTAAATCAGTGAATTTTCGCATTATATGCAAAAAATGAAGCAAAACAGTTAAGCTGTGGTACCGATGTTCAGTGGCATTGGGAGGGAAGAAAAAATCGCTTTGTTACTTCATTCACATTCACCTTAAAATCTGTTTGTTCGTTCATTCGTTCGGTGGTTCTTGCAATGCTGAGCTTTTACAGCTGCGGGATTCACTCTCGCTTGGTGTTACTTCCTTTTTTGTTAAGTATTTATAAATTTTTTTTTTTTTCGTCATGCAATGCTTTTGTTGCTTCCACTAGAATATCATGGATCCACTGTTTTCAGCTACTATTTATGTTACTTTCTTCAGTTTTGGTCTATATGTGAAGTTACAGCTGCAGCGGTTGCTTAAAAATTTATATTAATGAAAAATGATTTCATGATTTCATCCACCTTTTTTTTATGGATGTTCTAACATTTTACTCGAAAATTTTTGTTACCTTCCAAGGAAACTTTAGTAGAACAAAAATATTTACTTAAGATTCAGAAATTTAGAAACTTGCAAGTGAAATTCAGTAGCGCTGTTTTAAACTTTAACATAAAACATAATTTTTTGTTCATATTTTAAATTTTAACAACAAACACCATAACCACCTCTCCTTCCCCCCCCCCCAAAAATAAGAGAATAGTATTAAAGTTCAATACTTACAAATAACTACAATTAATTAATTTAATTATTCTACAGCTGGTTTAAGATAACGTTCTAATATAATACAGTAAGAAAATTTGTTAATGAACTTTCACACCAAATTAACAAAACTCTAGAAATATATGCGAAGATACAAGTCAAGATCAGTTGACTAATGAACGCAGCCTTAAGCTTCAAATTTGGCAGGTCACGACTTCACGCCTTAGTACTTGCAGTCTCAATTAATTATTTATGAATATTTAAATATAAGAAATACTAACTCTAAGGCCACTAATAATGGGTATTTGGCAATACTCAAAACAGCTGTGTGGTATGCCTAAAATTATTATATTTATATATAATTAAATTTTGTTGTTGTAATTCACAACTGTTCAAAATACGTCCCGTCATTATTGACTTTAAAATATTATCAATTTTTGCACTCAATTCCTTTGTTTAACCACTTTTCTTTAATTCCATATAATTATTTCACAATATATTGCTATTATATATGACTATTTATACTGGAATTATTTCATTGGACTTAGTCTAATTATTAAGTGATGAAATTGATGGAATCCGTAAAAAAACGACATATATTTCAAATATCTTTAACTTCCCTTGTGGGAAATTTATTTTGAAGGCTTGTATTCGATATTTTTCGCCTTAAATGAACTGATTTATTGATAATGAGATCATTTATATGACAGCTGTTTGTATGGTAAATCCTTGTTGGTGGTGGCTATAATGAGCAAAACAATCAAAATGAGACAGTGTGAATGTGCTATTAGTAAATTACACTTTTTAAAAAAGCAGTGGAAACATACTACAAAACCACTTAAATTAATGAAATTAAGATTTGGTTGTTTCCATTGGCATGAGCGGATTCATACATGTGAAATAATTTATATATTCACAATTTCCATATAAAACATGTGACAAATGTTTCAAAATTTACATTTTAAATTATTCTCTTTAGCAGCCTTAATGAGCAAAACTGCCTAAATGAGTTAGTAGAAATATGGTGTTATAATGGTTCATTTTGATGGCCAGCGGCATGCTAGACTCACTAGAGTTAATGCAGGTGAATGCATTTGAATACCCTTATATACATTTTGTGTGAAATTATAAAAACAACTATCTTATATGTAAAATGCATTTTAAATTTTTGTTTTTAAAAATATCAGGCATGCCGTGTAAGTTAAATTTTGTTTTTAAAAATAAAAGTTTTTCCTGATTTTATTATTTTTAAGACAAAAATAAGAGTTATTTGTGCTTTTTAAAATAAAAATCAGAATTTTAAGAGTTATTTCTGCGCTGAAAAAATAAAACGCACATGATAATAATTATTTTTAATGAATATAATGTAAAATAAACTTAATTATTATTATTTTTTGAGTTTTACTTCAAAATTCGAATGATAACAGTTAGAAGGAGATTGTTAACATATTGTTTTAATGGTAATTGTTACGGTCCCTGGCTATTTCACATGCATAAAACAGCTGATGTCAATGGAATCGACCAAATCTTATTAAACTTTTTTTTTATTATGTTGATTATGTTGATCAATGATCGCAAAACCAACCATATTAACATTACTGATGAAACAAGTGTAAACTTAGATGCAAAAGTCATCAAAACTTAATATTTTAAATTCGAATTAAAAAAAAAAATTAAAGTTGGTTTTTAACGCAGAAGTGGATTAGATAAAAGCCAGGATTTCAAATCAAAATGTGTGTAAAAATTAGTCTATTAGTAAATTAGTCATAAGTCAATTTTGCTGTTAAGATAATTCATTGGTACCAGAATAATTTTTTTTAAATATAAATATATAAATAATATATATATGACAATATATTTCCAAATTTAACTAATTCCTTCTATTTGAATGTGTTTTAATTGCAGGGAAATATGCCAGAATCCTTGATGCTCAACGTTCCAAAGTTAAAGGTAATTAAAACTGTTTGTCTTTTTTGGAGTATTGGTGTCATTTGCAGTTAAGTTTATCTTCAGTTGCAAGTTGTATCTTCTGCCAATTCCAATTCCAGTGCCCTAACTGTTATCCTTTCTGCAAATAGTGTTGCATTTGCAGTTTCTGTATTGTTGGTTTTATACTTACAAAGCAAAGCGAAATATGCCAAAGAGCGGGTAATTGCAAGAAAATTTCAAAAGAAAACAACTTTTCTGCCGGTGTCAAAGTGCAGCAGAAGGGAAAATAGTCGTTCACTATTTTCTTGAAAATTTTCCTTTTCCTCTCTAAGTCGTTTCGTTTGTGCTTTTTTTTCTATTGCAAATTCTTTGGCCTCATAAAACTCAGTTTGGCACAAAACTTTATTGCCTGAAAACAAGCAAACAAAACTGAAAAATCTTGCCTTCATTTCAGCGCTTTGGTGAGTTCTTTTGGAGGCAATAACTTTTGTCTCATTAACCTTCAAAGTTTATTTGTAGCATGAAATAAGGTTACCATGGGTTTAGGAAATATATGAAAGTACCTCGTGTGATTCGTTCTACTGGCGCTTATGAATGTAAAAATGCGAGAATCAAACAAAAAAAAAATTGCACTGAAATGGCACAGAGCAATTATTGAAGATGTCATGCGAATTTCCATAAATTAATATTTAAAAGCAATGAAAAAAATCTTAGTTATTAAACATAAAGTACGAATTCATACGAACGAATACACAAAGTAATTTGCTAAACAATTTTCCGTAAAAGATTTAATAGTCTGAAATGTCAAAGTACGGAGATTTTCGGCATGCATTTTCCACATGCATACGACATTTAAATATCCCTCATTACCTAGACAAAAGAAACGAAAAATGTAAAGTACACAAGGAGTCTAATAAGCGATATGAACGTACTTTGGAACAGTAATGATTCTCATTGGTTTTACGATTCAGAGAGTTTTCTAAATGAGTTTGTGCTTAATTAGAAAAGTTTCTATGCTTAAATTTAAATTTGAAAAAAAAACTGTAGCCGCTTGTGCTGCTCGAAATTGTCGTTCGTTCATGGAATCAGAGACCCACAAAGTTCTACGCAAAACTTTTCAAAAAAAAAAAATTAATAGTTGTGCAAAGCATGCAGTTTTGAATGATCCATAAATTGGAATATTCTAACCGTTATTGCTAGGCAGTTTAGCTTGCTATTAATTTCAGCATAGACAAGTACATAATCATCGTTTTATAGTAGAATTAGTAGTATATTTTTAAAAGTACCTACAATGAAAGTAATACGTTGAATGACAACATTAAAAACTTAGCCACGCTAAATAAGATTTAAAGATAAAGCTAAGCATATAAGATTCCAATAACTAATGAAATGATTTCCGAAATTTCAATCACCGCTTTTTATAACTTATTTAATTATTTTATCTATTACCGACATTTTAAATTATGAGCATAGTTAGATCATCTCTAATATTTCCATTAGCGAGTTTAGCATTAGCTATTGTTCTTTTGTAAACATATCACAAAAGAACAGCCGCTTACTTTATAAATAACAACACTGCTAGCTTATTCAGTCTAACCATCCAACCATTGAGTCCAACAATTCGCATGGTTACCAGGACTATAAATTTGTCTATTGTGAACTATTTTTGGAAGTACGTAGAAAATTTCCAATCAACTGTCAAAAAATATTTGACAAATAATACTTAATTCATCTAAATTTACAAATACCTATTAAGAATATATACTCAATTATTGAAAAAGGCTCCAAATGCAACTTTCATTCACATTCATGTAAAACATAATATACTAATTCATAATTGCAAAGAATTATTATTCATTTTCGAAAGTTTAACTTTAGTTTTTATCACATGGTTTTGCATATATCAGCCTTTCGGTTCTTCTAGCGTTCCCATCAAAAGTAGTGCTCATTTTATGTTGTTCTTTTGCAACATGCTTACAAAAGAAAAGGTCCATTATTGATCAATTATTGACCTTATACAGAACATATTATCATATGAGCGTGATTTTTAGATTAAAACTTGGACCCTAACAAATAAATGCAATTTTTTAAAAAACATCCGATTCTACTAAGCAATTTGCGTCAACTTTTCACTTCGAATGCAATGTGGAAGGCGATTACTATTATTGTATTTATAGCAATTTTAATCATTCTCTCGATCCAGCGTATAAGCAACGTTGCCAACCGTGATATCAAAACAAGGCATTATTTATGCTTAAATAGGTGTACAAATCGGCGACCTCAATCTAACCTAACCTAAGATTATTTGAAACCTTTTTTTAAGCGAGAATAAGCGAATGCTCTCAGCTAACTTACTGATACAGTATTTTTCAGATGTTTCCCATACATGGTTTATTATCTTTCGATACAAACGATGACTGTTTGGGATAGCAAGAATTGTCTTTTAATTATCCAACTGATAACTAAGTATATGACATAGATACATGAAACGACAATATAAGGTATCAATAATCACCAATTTTAGTAATTTACTACCCAGTAATGATAAAATTATTAAACTATTAATATAGCGTATACAAATCCAAGCACAATATATTTTTATTCTTATCCCTCTGATCAATTTAATAACTGAATATCATACATTTCATTAAGAATGGCCACTAAATAACCGAAAACGATTTCACAATATATTTTATTGTTGCTTTGCTATCTTTGTTTATTAAAATCCAATATTCTCTTCATCGCCATTCCTTTTTAATAAATTGATATAGTTACTTGAATATGCTGACCACTCTGGTACTGATAGGGCCCTTAACGTTTATAGCTATAGTGAGATAAAGAATAGTTTTATAATATATATATATATGAATATGTAATAATACTATATATCTATGTTTTTTTCAGATATGGACTTGCCAAGATTTGCGGAGCCAATGACAAATATAACCGTTACAATTGGAAAAAATGCTTTGCTCTCCTGTGTCGTGGAAAATTTGAAGGGGTACAAGGTAAGCTACTATTTTTAAAAAAAAATTTTAGTCTATAATTTTATAATTAAAAGTAAATCTTATTATTGTTTGGTACAATTATATTTGTATATTAATGTTCTTGTAATTGAAGGTTTTTTTATGGAGTTTGATTATATTAAATTCCTTACTACTTTTTCACCTTAGTCAAGCAGAGAGTACCCCGTCTTAATTCCTGTTTTCTTTTATTATTTTTTTTATTTTTTAAAGTATGTGAAAAGCAGTGGTTGACTTAAACCCACTAAATCCACTTTTTAGGAATGAATGGAGAAGACTTTCGCAACTATGTTAACTTCATTCCAATAATCAGGGAGAAAGTTATTAGCTAGGTTTAATGCTTAGTGGACTTGGTTTATCTAAGCAAGAAAGCATAGGTGTGATGCAGGTAGAAGAAGTAAGTTGAGGAGAAATGCCTGACTATAGGAAAAACTTCATGTTAGGAACGGAATTCTTTACCAAAAAATAGTTGACACCTGTAATCTGCAATCTACATATACAATCTATATTAGATGTTGAGTTGTATATATGGGTCTCGATACTTAACAGTATCTTAACAGTACTTAACTTAACAGTATACTAATTACTACTCAGACTTAAGTGATATTTCTAATAAAGCTTATTTTTAATAATCGTTTTCTTTATATGCAGCACCCAAAAATATGTACCTAAAACGTATTAACACACATAAGTTACTCTCACAACCTACTGGTATACACAAACAGAATTAACATTAATTAAACTTGCTTTGATGGCATTTTATTGAAATTTAAAGTTAATATGTTATGTATGTATACATTCGTCTATGTGTATGTTTGTAAATCAAACATATACAGAACTGCTTTTAATTAACTTAACTAAGTTGATGGTATTTCTCTTAATAGTGAACATACATAGCAAATGACAACAAAGGTAAAGTTTAATAGATATTTGGACTATTAGTTGCCTGAGTTTGAGAATATTCACACTTATTATATAAATATTTAACTATAATTAAACATAATGTTCATTACATTTCATAGGAATCATATAATGTACTTTCAGCAAAATCTCCAAATTACTCTGTCTTCAACATTTACAATACAAACTACACTCACTCCTTCACGGGTATATACATATAGATACTTTCAGCATTATTCCTACTTAGCTATCACTTATGCACAAATGATGCATTTTAAGTTAGGTGCATAATTTGCATTTGATGCCAGCTTTCGTTCAAAGGCGCTAAATTCAATTAAACCTCAAAACAGGAGCACAGGAACACAGTGTAAGTTATGTATGAAGCTTAAGTGCTCAGCTCATTGAAAAGCACTTTGGAAAAAAAGCCAGAGTCACTTACGTATAATCAATGAATTTAAATACAAATTTTCAACATAATCAAGACTAAATGTGCACTCAGCATTCATTATTGAAACAACTAACTAAAAATGCAACGTCAAGCAATTGACTATCTCACTTCTGTTTAAATCACAGCAATATTACTGTTAATACGCAACAATAATTTATGCAAATATACTTTTTCTAGAAGTTTTGAAAGTGAGTTTCACGTAATTTTTCTGTGGAACTGCAAAAATAACTAGAAATTTAATGGCTTTGGTATTTGGTATTGAGTCACCCAGGCGAACAATCTTGCGAAGGCAAGATCTCCCATTGAATTTTTTGGACCCGACCCATATTATGGATTAAGTTGGTCTACAACTAGATCTCTAATTGAAAAAATATTTTCAACGGAAATAAATCGCAACTGGCGCGACATTCCAAGTAACCGTCAGGCTAAAAAGTTGGTTTGGCCCTACAGTTACGGTAGGGCATCTTTTTTCAGCAGCACAGTGTTGAGATTGCTAGTGGCGTGTTTAATGGGTCACCATGGATTGCGTTATCACCTTAACAAAATGGGTCTGTCCACAGAGATAGAATATCGACTTTCCTTAAAAGCAGACGACACTTCCAGTCACATCCTTTTATTACCCTCATGTCTTTGATGTTCCAGAACACAACTCAACATTGCAATATTAATGTTTCCAAACATTTTATGAAAATTAAAGTAAAAATGAAACATTTTGCATATAATCTTTACAGACTAATACGTCAGCTACGCCACTAAACTGTCTGAAAGTATATACTTGTAGTCTTCTGATCCTTCTGATAAGACATTATATCATACATAATTTGATTACATGTCGTTCTACATGAAGACTGTTCGAGAGCAGCATATGAAAATTGATTTTCTAAATAGTGGACTATATGTCCCATCTCTCCTTTTGTGCTATCTTATAATTTTGACAGTTTTATGTACCAGATCTATAAGCTTAGTGAAACAGTAATTAAATTTACTTTCCGGTCGTTGATAATAAATTGCACATTTCCTAAGTAAACTTATTTTGACAATAAAGTATTATCTTTTTGTTAAACGAAACTCTAAAAAAGTTTTCTAAGACTTGCTGATACCGCTTTCGATTTCCACTTTTATATTCGAAGATGCCTTATAGTGCCTAGACTTTTTCTCATAATTAGCTCAGGTAACTATAGTATATTCATGAGCACTTCTAAGGTGTTAGATGTATAAGTTTTTATTGCTTTAATGTTGTTAATAACGTTATATTAAAAATCTTTGTATATGCAGAGTAGTGACATTTTTAGGGATTAATCAAGGGATTAGTTCGTCCCCGTACCATTATCTTTAAATAATTAAAATTTGTATTAATACTAACTAAAAATTTTTGATACAATTCTTAAAAATAATTTATAGTTAAAATAACTATGGAGCAATAAATTATAGAAGAATAAATTTACGTTTATTGTTGGCAGTCTACAATATTATCACTACACGGTTACCCTGTTCACTAATGCAGATTGAAAATTCCCTATCGCATAAAGTTGAAGTAAAAAAATTATTAATAATTTGTAATTAACATAATTAACACTTATCAATTTTAATAATTATATACTAACTAATTATATACTTAATACATATATACTCATTCAACTGATCTTATTCATCATTATTATTATTTATTTAATATTTATTTAACTGCACAGGTTGCTTGGGTGCGAATTGACACGCAAACCATATTGTCCATACATCACAATGTCATCTCCCAAAATAATCGCATCAGTTTAACTTATACAGATCATCGTTCCTGGTATTTACATATTAAGCATGTAGAAGAAGGCGATCGCGGTTGGTATATGTGCCAAATAAATACAGATCCAATGCGTTCCAGAAAAGTTTATTTACAAGTTGTCGGTAAGCGATAATAAAAAATTGATTTAATTTTAGTATATACATATATGTATATACCCTTCTAGTGCCACCGACGATTGTTGATAGCACTTCTAATACTCAAATGGTTGTACGTGAAGGCAATAATGCGACTCTTTGGTGCAAGGCGCGTGGGTCACCGCAACCGTACGTGATGTGGCGACGCGAAGATGGTGAAGAAATGTTGATCGGTGGTGAACATGGTATGTTTAAAATTATATTAATTATATACACATACATTAGAAATATTTTAAATATATAAATATACAATATATATATAAAAATTTCGTTAAATATACCGTTTTTTGCCTTTCTCTATAATATCCTTTAGTCAATATTGTTGATGGTGAATATTTGTTTATATCAAAAGTCAGCCGCTTGCATATGGCAGCTTATTTATGTGTGGCTTCTAATGGCATTCCTCCTTCCACAAGTAATCGTGTATATTTGTATGTACAGTGTAAGTATTCACAATTTTTAATTGCTTTTTTTAATATATGTATAATCAATATTCTTTTCTATTCAACACCCTAACACATCCTTAATATATATAACTTAATATATATTTGTGATAAAAACGAAGTATATATAGTATATGTACTATATATATGTCGGCGATATCTCCAGCATCAGGATCAGTCAGTTTCTTGACTATGTAAATGCTTATGGCTGTTTCTAGTCTGACCTACCCACTATTACGAGATTTTTGTGGATTCAAAACGGCTTTTTAGCTAACTGTGGAGGACTTGTCCTCCCTCCACCACAACTAACTCACTAACTATATGTACTAAATATTCTCTTAAGTGGAAACTTATTGTCAGCCAATTTTGATCTGTTTAAGAGAGGTTAAGAGAGATGTTGAAAATATATTTTATTTTAAGAAAATTGCCCGACCATAATTGCTGTCCATTGAAAGGGATTCTCCTTTAAGAAAGTTTCCAATTCATTTAAATATACGATATATAAATAACCTTAATATCCTTAGTATATGTTTATTGTATAAACCAAAATCTAATGTATATGTATATGCCAGGCTTTCGAGTTTTCTTTGGAAATTATAGTTGAAAGTTTGTCGAGCCTTTCTCTATGATTTTTCCAAATAATTCTATCTATGGTCGTGCTACCGTTAATATTTACTCTAGTAGTATTGTTATTTATATGCAAATATTTTCTATTAGTGATCTTGATAATAGTTTATGGGTTAAGCTAAGGCCTTTATGCATTGGGATGAGTTTAATCTATTGTACACCCTTAGGGATCTTATATACAATAACCTTTTTAGGTTTTTCTGGAATACATTTGTGTCAGTTGTGTTATCCGTTCCATTGCTCACTCTATGTTATTGAGTACTGAATGTGCATAGCTGTTGTTAACAGTTACTAAAAGTGTTTTTATTCCTACCCCTAATATGTTTACCCTCGATTTGGGGATCCAGTTAAGAGAGCTGATTTTTAATTTTTATTAAGTATATTATACTTGTTTATGAAGTAAATTATTATTGCATATTAAAAGTGTCCTCTTATGACTCCAAAGTATAACATTCAAATTAAGTTTATGTAAAAATTTATATTTTTTAAGGTATTTCGTTTTAATAATCTCATCATATTTAATAATTAATTGTTGTTGATTGGTATAACTATTTTATCTGTATAATGGAAAAAATTATCAGATTGAGTACATTGAGTATTTATTTTTTACATCTTTAGAGATTGATTTCATTTAAATTAATTTAATTCTTTTTTTTGAAGTATACACATTAGTATATGTATCGCATATATGCATGTGTAGTACATATACTCGTATGTACCTTTAGAGTAGTAATTAAATTACATAGTCTATTGTAAAAAACACTAATTTTTTTCTGACTTATTAATTGCAACTTATCGGATATAAAAATTTAACAAACAAAAGCGAGAATAATATGAGTTTTAATGTAGCAGATAACTTCATTTCGTTTTTTTGTTATTAAAATAAATTGAATTGAGTTGAATTAAATTCTTAACTATCTGCTTTAATAAATAATTTTAATATAATTAAAATTAAAATATTGGTCCATAGTATTAAAACCACAAAATATAAAAAATGTTTATTCAAAACCGCAAAATGCTTAATAATATACTTTGAAATACTGCTTATTATTATTGAGTTTTTTTTATTAAATTTTAAAAATATTGTAATTTAAATCAATTTCATTTGGTTGCTTGCAGAAACCTAATCATATAAATATAATTTAATTAAATCACATTGAAAGGTTGGTTTGTTTGAATAATTTTGACATATGCTCCTAACTTTTTTTCAATGAAATCAATTAAGTGATTGATTTCTCCACTGAACTGTAGCAGATAATTTAGTCAGGGCAAAATTTTCTTATAAATTAATCAAAAAATCAAAGACCAAGAAGTGAACTTTAATTCGGCTTAAACCTTTACCAAAGGACAGTTTTGTTACAAATCATTGATGGGCGTGCATAGAATAATTGGCTTAGTCCACTACTTGAACTATGTACCTAAAACATGGGGATTAACAATATTCGTTCACACAGTTTTGTTCTTGTGATGTCACTTACGTATAGAGTTCACATGGGTTCTTGTACTGGTACACTTAATAAGATATACACAAGCATAAACAATACGTGGAGGCAAGCAGAGTTATAAGTGAAGCAATGCCATCAGCACAAACACTTTTCATTGGAAGTTGGGTCCAATTTGGGTCCAATATTAGAGGTATCAGTAGCAAATATTAATATCGATTTGATGATCCAAAATTATTGTGTACAGACACGAGTTTCTGTTTATTCTTGATGTCGCTGTTTATCTCTTTTTATAGGCTTCCATATACTATTATTTTAAATGGTTTATTTATTGTTTATTTAACAAATTAACTTAACTAAAATATGCTTACAGAATTGTTTTTCTTTCTTTGGACGACAGATTGTATGTAATTATACATAAAAACATAACCCTGTTTTTTATACTCCTGTTGTATTGACCCTACTTGATAGACTTCATCTATTTCATTATTATTTGAAATTTGTTAAACGCGGGGAATACTCAGCAATCAAAAAGTCCAATGCAAGCTTTTGTTTAAAAAACGTTAGTATTTCATACATAAATTATTGACATTTAGACGGACTGACTATTTTTCGCAAATAATTGAATGTAATATTGATACAATCGATAGATCTAAATTTTTTTGCCATTTTCGATAATTTTTCAAAACTACAAAAGCTAACTATATATAAACTAACTAACTATATATATATAAAAGTTAATCACTTTTGATGAGTACACTCATTGATTCACATCACTCGAGTATGTGCTATGACTCATGAATCACCTACTATATACGCTACTTTATTAAGAAAAGTGTACACATTTTTGTGAAGATGATTCATTAGCACTTGTGCTTGTTAATGAAAACACTTATGAATCATATCTGTGGCGAATGCGCATTCATATAAGTGGCGTATAAGAAAAACATATATAATGCATTTATACTTGGTTTTTATGAGTGCATTCAGAATGTCAAAATTATGATTCTTTGAGGTCCTTCATTTACACATAGATGATGGTACACTAATAGTTTGAATGAAATCAGCATCATCGAATCCAGCATAGATGGCAACAAGTAGCTGAATTAAAAATAAAAAAATACAACCATATATATTGCCGCTGTCAGAAGTGTCCTATCCCAAGGCTTTTGGCTAATTTACCTAATGGTTATGGTGCCTCTAATGCAGATATGACATTGTTTCCTATATACCATAAGCAGATAATATAGGGTCTGTACGATCAGCGACATATTTTACTTTGCATTGCTAGTGTGATTTGGGTGACCCTAAGGCAGACATCGCATCATCGTTTCACATATCCGATGTGCGATAGACCATGTAAAAAATTTATATGATCACCGACGTCTCCTTCATTGTACTAGTGGCATCTGCATAAATTATTCGCACAAATAATGTCAAATTAATAAAATAATTTTAATATTTAAAAGAAAATTTAATTTTAAATTTTGAAATTGTTATACTGTAGTTGTAGCGTTTTAATGCCATCTTCACTGCAGTGTGTTTCATAAGCCGTTAGCATAATTTTTGGTACGTCTATGGATCCTTGTTGGAGCAGGCAAAAAGAAACGCTCGCATTAAATTAAAATCCTTCCATTTGTAAGCATAGCACGCTTTGTTTGTATTTTTAAGGAATCAAACATCATCACTGTTGCTGTTTGTATTTGCCATGTGGCCCACATGTTTGCACAAGTGCAGTATGTGCATGCGAAACAGTTTCAATGATTTTATGTATTGCATATATTCCCACTTGATGATATATGAACAAGTACGTACAAGCACATGCATGCAAATGCACCATTATATTTAAAACTTCAAAAAACAAAAAAATCCTGATATTATGGCAGTTTAATAACAGCAAAACTGTCACGTTATCTGTGAAAATTGAATTTGGATCAGTTTCTTTTTATTTCTAGATTAAATTGTAATTTAATCAATTATACATAATTATAATTTTATATATAATAATTTAATATAATTATAATTTTTATGTTTATAAAATTTGATTACTTTAAAATACTTCATTGTACCGTTGCAATGCAGTATCTTCCTCCTTTTACTTCTGGTAAGTCAAAATAAACATGCTTGACTGTACCCATGTATTTCAATGGCATTACATTCTACCCGTAATACCCACTAATATCTCACCCCTTTCACTTCTAGTAAGTCAAAATTATCATGCTTGAATGTACCCATGTATCTCCAAGTATTTAGAATTTATTTTGATTTAAATATATTTTTTTTTAAAAAAAATCCGATAATTATTGTTCTAAACAAAAAGTTCTGTATTAAAGTTTCTTAACCTTGACATTTACTTTTTGACAGGGTTCGTATTTGCTCACTCATAAGCAGCTCAGGCTCATGAGCAAGAGCCAATTCTTACGTGAGCCCAAAATGGGCTCATGAGCGTGAGCCCATAATTGGCTCATATTAAAGAGCTGCTCACCAGCGTGAGCCTTCAAGTTGCTCATATTGAAGAGCTGCTCATGAGGTCTCACGAGCAACGAGCTCACGAGCTCAACTGTTTAATAAAAAGCGATTTACTAGTTTATTTGCTTTATTTATTTTTATAAACGTTATATGTAAAAATATATAATTTCATATTAAAACAATATAACGAAACAATAATTTGAATTTGAAAAACAAATTTATAAAATATTATTATTTTTCACAAATAAACAATAAAAATATATTTATTATTTATTTTAGGAACTTGATTATGTCCATATTTTAGTTAGTTCAAGGTTATTAATATTTTTAATCTTTTTAATGACATGTTTCCATAAAAAAAAATAATAACAAAATCTTAAATTGGGCGCATAAGATCTCATGAGCCGCAGCTCATGAGCCGCAGCTCATACTCTTGCTCACGAGCGTGAGCCCATTTATAACTTAATGGCGGCTCTTGCTCGTGAGCGTGAGCTCTGTAGTTGGGCTCGCTCGTGAGCGTGAGCCATCGTATGAAAAGAATTTTTTGCCGGCTCATGAGCCGTGAGCAGAATGAGCCGAAATGAGCCGCTCATGGGTACGCAAATACGAACTCTGCTTTTTGATGAAAAAATTTTTTACGGAAGTCTTCATCCACTTCCAATAATGACAGAGATAATCAGTTTACACTGAAAAAGAAAACTAAAATAAAGTTTACAGTGAGTATCTTACCCAAAAAACAAAAAGCAAACAAAAAACACTTAATACATCCGAAACGATACTTATAAATCTTATATTTAGTGTACATATTAAATATTTTTAAATCTAATATGTATATATTAAACAACCCAAAATCATGAGTCATGAATTTAAAGTGCTATAGAAGTAATTCCCACATAATGGATAACTTAACAATAATATCTTAGTGATATTGTAATAACCTTTAAAAGTTTTCACCATAAACGTTTTGACACTTATAAGACACATCTTCTATATATAACGTTACACTTCATCAATAAATGTACAATTTTGGTATGTAGATTCGAAACATGTAGAGTTATACGTGTATTGTCGAACTTCACTCAATAATGTTATTCATTTTTTAATACATATTTTTTTATAAAAAAAACAAAACGCTAGATATATGCACTCGAATTTTATTGAAATTTGCAAATGCAAATTAAAAGAATTAAGTACTTGAGTTATATGTTAATTAAATGTTTAGCAAATGTCACTCCGAATTACATTCATTGTTCACTAATGAGTCTCCAACAACATCTGCACCATCGACAACAGTACGAGATGCACCCTTAGCAGCGCCCTCTTCATTTAAATTATCGGAATTATCGGAATCATGGGAAACATTGGAGTTTGCTAACTTATCACATTTGTCCCAATCATCAGAATTATCTAAGTTTTCATTTTCCGACTCATCTTCATCACTTGAATGTGGATCAAATTCAGGCATTTCACCGGTGAAGTACAAAACAGCTTTAGGTATAACACGTGAGTGAAATAAAAGCCCAAAATTATGATCAATTATTAGGGACGCTCCCATGTCATTTTTCATAGATTCCGCTGGATCAAAAAACTTAAAAAAAGACGGGCGTGGAACAGTCATAGAAACAATTTCATTTGTATCATCTCTAGAGATTCCCTTAACTGTTTCTAACGTTAGATTCATGTCTTTCTTCCAATTAATCACGCAACCTTGACTATTGCAAATACGAGGCCCACTATGATGAAATGGCATTTTTTCGTCAGGGTCAAAAGTCAAATAGTATTTTTTAATGAGAACCTCATTAGTAAAATAATTATTTTTTTCAAAATGGAATTCAAGAGTAAAACCATTTGTTTCATTGCACTTTTCTCTTATATCAATTAGTTTTCTAAGGAGTGGCTCGTCATATTCCTCTATTAAATGAGCAAGCGCACTCACATTGCGCATTACTGTTAGCCAAAAATTGGGTATGCCGATAGCATCACCTGACAATTTTTTGTATTCCCTCAACTGTTCCTCAAAGTTATAATTATTCTTTTTATTTTCATCATCTGCTGCTACTTTCCATTTTACCTCTTGCTTTGGTGGATCAATCTTACCAAAAATTATTTCAAATCTCTGATTATAAAACTGTTGACACTTGGCAGCGTGCTTTACCTCTAAGTCATTAATTTCCTTGTAGAATTCAGAGTCTATCGCACTCTGATCAATTTGAGCATTCTTCAAAACTGTGATGCGATTTTGAATCACCTTAGGGAAGGTTTTCACCATGTCATGAAGAAAATGACGGCGTTCGGCAGAATTGATGAGTCCCGGTAGAAAGCTCTTGGACTTCTGATCAGGGAAAGTTGCGCTACATGGACCACCTTTAGTGGTGCATTTACTCTTTATTGCTGAAATAAAAGTAAGTTTGTTTTTAAATATACTCGTAAAATCGAAAAAGGATGAATATATATGCATCCCAGTTTGCAATTAAAAAATGTTTACATATAATATCAGTCTACAAATATATATTTAGAGGCCATCCACTGTACATAATATACAATATTGAAAAATTCATTTACTCACCGAGTTTTGAGCGTTTTGGCATTATAAAGTTCAATAATATGCGCTATGCAGAAGATAATTCAATTGACAATGTACTTTGGCAGTTTTCCAATTATGGAATCGAATATAGTAACTGAGTTTATATTTGATGGGTTAAGAACAATTTTTATTTTTATTTTTATTTCTAACTAATTTTGATATAACCCCGCATGCTTGTCAAATATGTGTCCAAAATTATATTAACTATGGATATATGTATTACAAACAAAGAAATACGAGCGGAATTACAGTTTCAGAGGTACTCCGATTTGATGTTGCTTTGACGGCAGATCCTGATAAAATTGATTGCTCTGAGTAATTTTTTCACTGCGTTGTATATCGATACCTCAGAAGTTTCACATAGGAAGAGAATTTTATCCTCCCTGCACATGCGCTGTACAATGGCAAATTTTTTGAAGAAAAAATCATTTGAAGCATACAAAGTATTTCAAATGTTTGAAGAATACATTTGGCAACAGTATTATATTCAATCAAATACCATTTATTATTATCTACCGTATATTATGAAAACTTTAAAAATATTTACTTTATTTCATACTAATAGAAAAATTAAGATTAGCTTGATTCACACAGATTGATATTCACAATGCTCCGTGGTTCTCTACTGTTCAATCAGCACTTGTTGATTGATTCAAGACATAAGATTGATCCCAAGAGTACGCTGAGGTGTCATAAGGCTAATAATAAAAATAACATGAACTGCAAAATAACCTTACTGTCAACAGCTATAGGTCCCGCGCATATGCAAAAGATGAGCACTGTACCTCTTCAAAGTAAGAGCACTCACAGAACAATGTTGAGTATTATCCATAGCCTCATTCCAATAGGATCAAAATCTTACTATATAATTCATTTGACTACAGTGGTTATAGTTGAATTCTGTTGAAATATTTAAGTAAAAAATACAGATAAGTTATTGCAGGATTTAAATAACAACAATGCTAGCAACTAATATTATATACATTTTCTTTAAAAAAAAAGAAAAACAGGATAAATGAATTTGAAATTTATTGAAATTCTCAAATGCACTTTATAAGATATATATAGATGTGATTAAGAAATATTTTAATTAAATGTTAGTGAATTATTGAGGTTTACATTGATTGCTCAATAATAGGTTGGCACCAAGAGTTGCACCATCGAAGGCAGTAGCAGCATCACCTCCAGCATCATCTCCAGCAGCGCCCCCTTCATCTGAATCGTTCAAATCCTTCTTATTATTCGATTCGTCCGTTTCTTCATTTTCCGACTCATCTTCAGTACATGCACATGGATCAAGTTCAGGCAGTTCACCGGTGAAGTATAAAACTGCTCTAGATATGATACGTGACCGAAATACGAGTCCCAAATCATAATCAATGTTTAATACCTCTTTCATATCTTTATCTATAGATTCTGTATTCTGTTCCAGCGGTGGATTAAAGAAATGGAAAAAAGACCGACGTGGAACATTTTTAAATATCATTTTATTGGCATCATCTTTAGAGATTTCCTTCACTGTTTTTAACGTTAGATTCATATCTTTCTTCCAATGAATAAGGCAACCTTTACTCTTCCATATTATTGGCCCATCATATTGAAACGGCATTTTTTTATTAGGCTCGATATTGAAGAAGTATTTCTTTGTAAGAACCTCATCAGTGAAGTAATCATTGCGATCGAAATGAAATTCTAAAGTAAAAGAGTCTTCTTTACCGCATTTTTCTCTAACATCGATCAGTTTTCGCAAGATTGGTACGTCATGGTCCTGTATCAAATGACCAACCACATCCACACTGCGCAACACCTCTAACCAAAAACTAGGAATGCCGATGGAGTCATTCGATAGGTTCTTGTAGTCATTAAATGCTTGATCATGGTCATGGTCGCCTTTTGCATTTTCATCACAAGGGGGTTCCTTCCATTTTGGATCTTGCTCTGGTGGATCAAATTTACCAGAAACTATTTCAAATCTCTGATCATAAAACTTTTGAAACTTGGCAACGTACTTTACCTCCAAGTTATTAATTTCCTTGTACAATTCAGAATCAATCGCAATTTGTTCTAACTGAATATTCTTCAAAACCGTTATACGGTCCTTTATTGATTGCGGGAAGCTTTTCACCATCTCATGAAGAAAATGACGACGTTCAGCAGCGTCTAAGAGTGCGGGTTGAAACTTTCTGACCTTTTTATCAGCCTTTTCATCAGTGAAAGTGGATGCTTCACTACTTGAACCACTTTCAGTGGATGATTTGACCACATTGTCTGAAAAAAAAAGAAATTTATTTTTTAATACGAAATCGAATCATAAGAAGAAAATAAATGCATGACTCTTAAAGAAACCAATTTCGCGACTAAAAAAATATACACTTTTTACTATAATAAAATATTTCATAACACATAAAACCGGGATTAGCAAAAATTTTTAAAACTAATCAAATAAATGTAAAATATAAATTTTTTGAAGATTTTTAGTAAATTCAATCATATTCAATCATAATTCAATCATACTAACCAGCTAACCCGCTAGTGTCACAAAAGTTCAAATGTACCTTAATGCCTCCCCTAATATATAACCTCAAAAATACTCACATCTGTCTATCTCTCTTCACACAACATTGAAAAAAATATTTCCTCCCCCGTATTTGAGTTTGAGGAATCTGCCATGATAAAATTCACAATATCCGCCGTAAAGAAAGAAACTCACGTAAGAAACTCAGGTCTATTACAGCGGTAGAATTATGAAGACGAATGTATGTTAGTTGTTAGTTTAATATTGACAACTGAAGAAAAATTTTTATTTTCATTTCTAACTAATTTTGACACAATCTCGCATGCTTGTCAAATATGCATCAA